TTCAGCCCCGATCCACTGTCAGCCTTCTCCACCGCCGGGCCCTGCCTCCTCCTCCATGGTTGCTGGTGGGCCCTGCTGCCGATGCCAGGCCCCGCCTCTTTCTACGCTGCCACCACTGAGCCCTGGCCTCCCCCCCTGCAAGCTGCTGGCTGTCACTGACTTGGCAGCGGCTGTGAGGAGGAACACGCCGCTGCACAGATCACTGACAGCCAGCAGCCTGCGATGCCGTATCGCCCCTGGCGGCCCGCACGGCCTCAGGGCGGCTCCTTCGTTCCTTGTCCTGCCTGTGCCCCGGCCATCTGGGTCTCCAGTGGCGATAGTTCCACCACTGGTCAGAGGGCATGACACTACAATGACTGACAGTAATTTTGCTGTCTCCTCCTCTCAAAAGTCGGGAACTCGGTCATGGGCTAACAGCAGCACGAGAGTGGGGACCTGATCCCGCCGGGTCAATATCCCCTCCTCTTTTTGGCATCGTCTATCACCAAGATAACCGCCGGCAGTGAAGTACATCACTGCACATACGTGATGATGTCATAACGCATGTGTGGCTGCCGCACCAGGTGACACCTACCCTGGTGCCACCGCTGGTAGATCTAAGTGATAGATTAGCGCCCCCTCCCCCCGGCACATGGAGATGACACTAGGGACCCAGATGCCGGATTTAAGGGAGTATAAAACAATCCAAAAAAAAGTGCTGCATGGGAAGGGAGGGAGGAGGTTAATTCTTGCCTGGAGATTGGCTTTAACAGCGACTGCAGGAATCTTTAAACCAGAGGTGGGCAATCTGCGGCCCTCCAGCTGCGGGGATACTGCAAATCCCATCATGCATCTGGGAGTTGTGGCTGTGAGAGTCTTGCAATGGCTCATGGGATTTGTAGTTCCCCAACAGCTGGAGGGCCAGAGTTTGCCACTAGCAGGGACTGTCAGAGCTGCTGGCTTTGTGAACACAGATTAGAAAACGAATTAGCGTTTAGTAAATGCACTAATTGTGGTCACAGCAGGTCTGGCAGTGCCGCACGAGGACAGACGGATGGGTCCAGTACACAATGTGACAGGTCCGTTCCCCTCCGATAGACACTGTCATGTATTACAAGCCTCATCGCTGTCACGGTGCCTCGTCCTGGTGTTACATGCGTTGCATCACGGGGCCGGATGATTAATATTTAGTTACAATGTTCCGCGTCTCTCTCTGATCTCTATCATTGCTTTGCTGCGTGTTCTAGATTAACAATGAGCTGCTCAACCAGCGGTGGTCGGCTTACTGCTATACAGGGCCCGGTATCATTAAAGGGCCCCGCATAATATTCAGTAAATGTAATGCTACAGAAAGCTGTCAGGGACTGCAGACTGGCAACAGGCGATGGTCAGGGACTGCAGACTGGCAATAAGCAATGGTCAGAGACTGCAGACTGGCAATGGTCAAAGACATGCAACCGGCAATGGTCAGAGACTGCAGACTGGCAATAGTCAGAGACTGCAGACTGGCAATGGTCAGAGACTGCAGACAGACATTGGTCAGAGACTGCAGACAGACAATGGTCAGAGACTGCAGACATGCAACAGGCCATGGTCAGAGACTGCAGACAGACAATGGTCAGAGACTGCAGACAGGCGATGGTCAGAGACTGCAGACAGGCAACAGGCGATGGTCAGGGACTGCAAACAGGCAATGGTCAGAGATTGCAGACATGCAAATAATAAACTGCAACAATCAATGCTGAAAATGTTCTTTCTTTCCCTGCCTGAGTATGCACCAAAACAGACCCCCGTCAGCAGGGGCCCCCCGAGGCCACAAGGCAGCATACGGCCCCCGGACCACAGGTCAGGCAACGTCTATGTAACATAAAATGAACAGATCTAATGTAATAAAATAATGAACTTTTAACTTAAAAGACTTGGCGCTAAAATCATGTGACCTGGTCCTGTGTTTGTGCAGAAATGTATAAAAGTGGATGTACGGCCAACATTTCGGATAGAACGGGGAAGCATTAGAACCCCTGATAGGTTTAGGTTGTGGTCCGTGTCTCCAAATGGGGAGAGTCGCCTCTCTCTTTGTCCTGGTGACCACTAGGGATGAGCTCAGGTTTGGACAAAACTCCTCCGAAGTGCCATAAAAGTGGCGGGATGCTTGTGGTGACATCATTGACCTTATATGGGCACATGGCTATATTAGGTCAATGCCACTGACCAAGCACATCCATGTGTCCATATAAGGTCAATGATGTCACTGCATCTCATCCCTTGGCCTACATGCAGCTGTGGGCAGGGAATTCCCTGGTTGGGTGCAAACCTGAGCTCATCCCTAGTGTGGAATGAAAGAGAAAACTTCGCCCATATCTTCAAAAAGACAACAAGAACGCCTTCAGAAATGTTTACTGATGACAATCTACAAACACATACTTCTAGGTAATTGCCGGCTTTTTATTGTTTGCATATCGTAACAGCGGCCATTTTTACTAAGGGCAGATTACTAGATCTGTCTTTACTTCCTGGAACTCTGGCACATGTGACTAGGACATGTGACCATGCACATCATCTCAGGGGAGGAAAATGTCTTTCCCTGAGATCTCGTGAGATTACAGATGAGATTTCCCAGCAATGCTCTGCTGATGTAACCTTCCCAGCATGCAACGCTTGGACACAGATTACATCACTTGTGCCCAAGAGGACCAGGAAGTGGTAAAAGAAAAGTATGTTTGTTTATCTATGAACTCCTGAATGTAAAGTGATTTCATATGGACACGCAGAGCTGCACGCTGATGGGATTGTTAGTGAAAGGGGTGGAAGTGGATGTAAAGCCAAACCCCTTTTTTATGGAAAGACTGAGGAAGGTTTAGAATCCCCCCCATCCCCCACCCCCCAAGTTTATATTGTTTGTGTCTCCACTGGGGAGTCACCCCTCTATTTGTGACTGGTGACCATTGTCACAAAGACAGGAAGTGAAAGGAAAATCCCAGATTTTACAGTTGTCACCAGAAAATGAAGACGGGGAAATCTTCCATGGTGACAGCTAGGGATGCAGTGATGCCGGTCTGTTTTTCGGTATCGAGTACTGATATTTTTTTGTGGTACTCGCCAATACCGGAAGTCCCATTAAGGAAGCCGGGCGGCGTGTAATGACTCTCCACCCGGCTTCCTGATTAGCAGGGAAGCCGTTTCCATGCTCTCTGGTCACTAGGAAGCATCGAGCCGGCTTTCTGGCCAATCCGGAAGCTGGGTGCCGTCTAATGACGCAGTGCCCGGCTTTCTAATTGGCCGGGAAGCCGGCTCCATACTCCCTCATCATGAGGTGACGAGGAAGCAGCCGACTTCCCGGCCAATCAGAAAGCCGGGCAGTAGGTCATTACACACTGCCCGACTTCCTGATTGGCCGGGAAGCTGCCCCCATGCTCTTTCGTCGCAAGTGACGAGGGAGCATGGAGCCGGCCAATCAGGAAGCCGGGCAGCGTGTAATGACCCACTGCCCGCCGGCTTCCTGATACCGGACGTATCGGGCTAGCCATCAGAGCATTTGGGTGAGTATGAATACTCGGCACCGATACTAGTTTTGGTGCATCCCTAGTGACAACTGTCACTGAATTCCTCTCACTTCCTGTTATGTCTCTAGGACAGGAAGTGGAGAAATCTGACCAAAGGGGAACAGAAAGCAGGAAAATAAACTGAAATGGGGTTTCAGCCTTTTGGGTGGCAATGGACGGAGCTTTCTTTTGTGTTCGGAGAAGCTCAGGTTTGGTCCAAATCAGAACTCCTCCCGAGTGTCTACATGTGGAATTAAAGTGCGCGTAAAGCCAAACCTTTTTTTTTTTTTTACATTTTGGGTATAGTGTGTAAGGCTTAGAACCTTTTTCCTCCATCAACTTTATATTGTTTGTGTCTCCACTGGTGAGAGTCACCCCTCTATATGTCCTGGTGACCATTGTCACATAGACAGGAAGTGAAAGGAAATCCAAAATCTTACAGTTGTCACCAGAAAATTAGAGGAAATATTCCACTGTTTACTTGTGACCACTGTCACTGAATTCTTCGCACTTCCTGTAGCGTCTCCAGGACAGGAAGTGAAAACAGACAGCAAAAATAAACTGAGGGGTTTCTGCGTCTCCATCAAAAACTAAAAGAAAATGTTTTGGCTGTGCATACATTTTACGGGGACACTGTCAGGGACATTTGTTCCCATTTCCTGTATAACTGATCATTAAATTTGTTTTGTGTTTTTCTTTATAAATAAACAATTTCACTGCTGATGCCGGTGACAACATTCTGACTGCTGTTACACTACTAAACCATGAAAGAGAGTGCAATAAAGACGACAAAATGGAAGACGCGTGTTTATTTTATTGTACAATTCAGGTTCTCTTGTTTATTTTTGTAATCTTTACTTGCATCTGCCCCCAGGTGTAGGCAACCTCAGGACTCCGGCATCTGTGGAACTACAAGTCCCATGAGGCATTGCAGGGCTGACAGTTACAGGCATGGCTTCCAGAAGCATGCTGGGATTTGTAGTGTCAGAGCAGCTGGAAGGCCGAGCTTGTCTAACCGGTCCTTTTTTTTACTGGCCTGTTTTCTTTGGCAATGGAGTCATTGACGATCTTTTTAAAGCTGCAGTTTTCATGAACATGATGGTTTTTGTTGAGGCGCTTCCTGTTATACGGTGACAACGCTCTGTCCCTTGTCTCCCAACTGGGCCCCTATGTTGTCTCCCTGGCTTTTGATGGCGGACTTTGTTTGGGGCAGACTCATGACTTCCTGCATGAGGCTCCAGAGTGTTTATGTGGACGGGAAGCGCTATGCAAAGCAATGAGAGGCTGATGGCACCCATGGCTGTTCTCAGACATAAAGCAATTTCCTGCTGATGATTGCCCCTGATACATGAGTCTTGCATCCAGAGGCGATCAGCCGCTGATTTCCTTCATTTTGGAGGAATTTCCTCTCACTTCCTGTTGTGGCCATCTGACGGGAAGTGAAATCTCACATTGGGAAATAAGTGATGATAATTGTTCATGATACACAGAGATGACGTTAATGTCACCCAGTTCGGGTTGATATTTGTTCCTGAGGGGAAGATCCCCCCTGGTGACAGTTCTGCTCACACGTCACAGCTGCAGTCATCCCATTTCCCGCCGTCGCGGAGTGACGTCATCATCGATCAGGCCATGGCCGGGTTCCCGGGCACTCCTCACCAAGGGGCAGGCCCCTCGGGTTCCCCACACACTGCATTGGGTCTCTCAAGGACCCCATATCCCATAGGGGCCACATTTGGCTCCCCACACCCGGTATCCGGAGTCCCACCCCACAGGCCCGGGTTTCCGGGCGCTCCGCACTGGATAGCGGGTCTCTGTGGAACTCCCAGCCCTAGGACGGGTTTCCCGGGATCGCCGTGTTCTAGACAGGGTATCTCAAGGGCCCCGAGCCCCATATCGGGTGTGTTTGTCACTCCGCAGCCCGCTGCGGGTGTCTGTAATACTCCGCCCCGTGCAGCAGACTTTTCACACCCCAGAGCAGGTGTCTCTGGTACGCCACACCCCAGAGCGGGTGTCCTGTGTCGCAGGTGGGCGGTGTCGGACAGTTCGGGCTCTTTGTGTTACTCTGGCCGGGAATCCCCTCCTCCATCCGGGCCACTAAGGGCCCCATCGCCGCTGGTGACTTCAAAAGAGCCGGGAGGCCACAGCCCCACCCACAGATCTGGCCCCTCCCAGGGGCCCCGCAGTACCCCCATCTCTGGGGCCAGCAACAGTGGAGAGCAGAACAGGGGTGAGAAGGACCTAGGGGCATCATAATATTTAGCTATAGAGATGAAGAGTCACCATGATGTCCATCCATAGAGATGAGGGGTCATCACTGGTGTCCATCCATAGAGATGAGTGGTCATCATTGGTGTCCATCCATAGAAATGAGGGTTCATAATAGAAGGGCCATCACTTGGTGTCCATCCATAGAGATGAGGGGTCATCATTGGTGTCCATCCATAGAGATGAGGGGTCATCATTCATGTTCATCCATAGAGATGAGGGCTCATCATTTGTGTCCATTTATAGAGATGAGGGCTCATCATTGGTGTCCATCCATAGAGATGAGGGCTCATCATTCATGTTCATCCATAGAGATGAGGGCTCATCATTTGTGTCCATTTCTAGAGATGAGGGCTCATCATTGGTGTCCATACATAGAGATGAGGGGTCATCATTGGTGTCCATCCATAGAGATGAGGGGTCATCATTGGTGTTCATCCATAGAGATGAGGGGTCATCATTGGTGTCCATCCATAGAGATGAGGGGTCATCATTGGTGTCTATGTATAAGGAGTCATCACTAGTGTCCAGCTATAAAGAAGGGCCATCACTTGGTATCCAGCGATTGAGATGAGGGATCATCAGTGGTGTCCTGGTAAAAAAATGTGAGGTCACTACTGGTGTCCAGTGATAGAGATGAGGGACTATCACTGTTGTCCAGCTATAGAGATGAGGAGTCACCATTGGTGTCCAGCTATGAGGGGTCACCATTGGTGTCCAGTTACAGAGAACATCACAAGGATTAGCGGTCATCAGCATTGCCCATCTTTAGGAAACAGAACAGAAATGAGAGGACATCCCTTGTGTCCAGATACAGCGCACAGGAATGTGGAGTCACCACTAGTGTCCACATATAGTATAGTGGTCATGATTGTGGGGTTATCACAAGTTTGCCACCCCTGAGCTAGAGGGATGAGAGGACATAATTGGTATCAGTCTACAGAGAACAGAACATGGATGGTCCTTACTAGTATTTAGAGTGCAGACCAGAAATGTGAGCAGAGTTGTTGTGAAGAGATACAACGAGGGGAAATGTCTGACTTTGCGGAGTTTTCTTTCTATATTTTTATGTGCAGAATCCTATTTTGCGGACAAAAGTTCGGTTGCAGAAAACGCGAGTGCCTTTAACTTCACCTCATCTTCCAGTTCTTCCAGGAAAGATTCCAGCTCTTCTCGATGTGGAAGACCAACAGGAGGATACTTCTCAAAGTCTAAACTCCAGACTCCTGTTACCGGCTATTCAGGTACTACGTTTCATAGCTTGCTTCATAAGAAATAAGAGTCTATGTCCCTTTACAGAAGACATTTTATTAACCCTTGCAGCAGGGCTACTGCTACCCCTCCCTCCTTTCCCCAATCCTGGGATCTGGCAGCTCCTCCTCTTGCCTGTCTCCTCCTCTTATGTTGCGGGTGTATGTCCCTCAGCAGCCTCATGTCCTTATACATTGAACCTTAGACTGCTGCAGGTGAGGGGTAGAGAGGCTTCAGGGGCTGATCTAAGGGCCCATTCACACCATATCCAGATTACCTCCAGACCAGACTGTTTCCGGACCCAAAATGCAACCCAATGTATCCCTATGCCATTTCTGGCCTCTGTTCCCACCAGCGCAGTCCGTTCCAGACCAGAAAAATACTACTTGTCTTATTTTGTCTGGTCTGGAATGCACTGGAACGCACCTGTAAGACCATTGTAAGCGGGGGGAAAAAAACATTTGAATTCCAATCGCGGCAAAATCACGGCAGAAATGCAATGCACTATGTTCCAGATCTGGTCCGGAAAATGGTGTGAACCTGCCCACAGTTCCAGTCCATTCTAGACCAGACAAAATAAGGCATTCAGTATTTTTCTGGTCTGGTCTGGGATGGACTGCGCTGGTGGGAACAGAGGCCAGGAATAGCATAGGGATGCATTGGGATGCATTTTGGGTCTGGAAACAATCTGGTCTGGTCTGGTCTGGAGATGATCTGGATGGGGTGTGAATGGGTCCTAAGAGCAGATCATGTGAGTATAACTCTTTTTTTTTTTACATTAGGCAAAAACAGGTAGCCCCACTTATTAATAAAATTAGAGCCTGACAAAAAAATGAAAAAAGGGCCTCAGTCATGAAGGGGTTAAGTTCCCTTTATGATTTTACACCTTTTGCGTATTTTCAATATTTTATTTCTCGTTTCCAATATTTTGTATCATTCTGTACCGGGCTGGTTGTCATAGACGATCTTCATAGACACATATCCGGCCCTGGAGTCACCCTGACCTAATTGTAGCTGTTATCATGCACAGTGCTCCTCAGAAGCAGCCTCAGGGGAAATTCTGTGTACTCGGTAAGGTTTTATAAGAGACCGTTCACAATGCAGTGTTGCTACAATGTAAACTATTTCTGGTGCTCCTCAAAGCAGATGATTGGAACCAGTGACTGAGCGCCCTGTAATCGTATGAGACACATTAAAGCAGTGGCTCTCAACCCACATTTGTCCTTGGTCATTCATTCGTGATCCAAGTTGCACTGCAATGTAACGCACAACATTAGGGTACCGCGTGTCCCGGTGCGGGCGATCGAACTGTGGGTGGGAGGTGCGTTTGGGAAGCCATTCAAAAGATCCACCCAGTCCCCATACCTTATGACAGCTGAAGTGGATCCTCAGCCTGGGGTCCAGTGTGGAGCTCCATCCATATGTGCATTGTTTGTACAGCTCCCTCACGTGTCCTGTAGAGGTCCCGGGAGCCAGAATGTGACATCACTCCGGTCTAGGCACCTCTACAGGACACGTGAGGGAGTTGTATGTATGGATGGAGCGCCCTCACGGCCGTAGCCCCAGCCCATCCCACACTCGGCACCGGGCAGCATATTTTGAATGGCTGCTTGGCGAGAGAACTAACAAGGAGGAACTGAGGAGTCTCTCACCTAGCACAGTGGAAGGCACATGGCGACGCACTGAACACGGGGTCGCGTCCCACTTTTGGGTCACGACCCACCAGTTGAGAACCAAGGCATTAAACCATTGCACTAATATGCCTTATCCTCATACCAGTATAATCACTCCAGTTATGTAATGATATTTCATCTGTGTTGGCTCAAAACCACAACCTCAGCGCTGACGGCAACCACCAAAAAAGTCCTAAAGGGTATCTTCCTTCACATGCGTTTACAGTAGGAAGGGCAGCCGTTCAGGAGCGGATAGGATAATGCTCCAGTACATGAAAAGAGATAAAAAGAAGCAGCGCCTTCTCCTCGTGTGATACCATTTATTAAAACAAAATGTATAAGGACTAGTTCACACCAATTGCGTTGCGTTCCAGAGCGGTAGCTGCTGGAACGCACAGCAGTTGCACACTAAACTCCTCACTTCGTTATGGGACGGGAGAGCGCGTGGCGGTGCATTGAAGTCAATGGCACCGCAGCCACGCCCTCTGCCCGCAGTGCAATCGGACGCATGGCAAAACGCTGCCTGACAACGCAAAAAAGTAGAGCATGCAGCATTTTTTTGCGTTTGCAGTGGACCGGAACGCAAGCATTGTTTTGCTGCGCATCTTATCGCACTGTGGGCGGGGAGTGTGTCTGCGGTGCAGTTGATTTCAATGCACTGCCACGCCCCCTCCCACCCTGGAACGAAGGGGGGAGTTTAGTGTGCGATTACTGTGCGTTCAGGGAGCTACCGCTCTGAAACGCACCAAAATTGGTGTGAACTGGCCCTAGAGACGTCCATTCTGCTCACATGTTCAGTCCAAGCAAACGATTCCATAGTCAATTACACACGTACGGAACAGAGAAGACGAAAAGACCCTTCAGCATGTGACGGTGGGCTATAGGTTCAGGTTTACTTGTATTTAGAGGAAATAGAAATCTGCGGCCAGTGGCAAACTAGATCTGAATGCTTCCAAATGCACGTAAACGTCTGTAAACACGGGCACATGCTTATACTTCCCAGCTCTGTAAATAAAACATCCGCTGGAGGCCTGTGTGAGTGCAGCCTACGCATGATCATAATGCAGCGATAATAAACAGAAAACAAAAACTGCTTTTTGGGTAAATAAATCTATGTTCCTGTACACCTCTCGATCCTGTCACGGCTCTCTGCCGTGACAGGGGAGGGGCTGGATTCCCCGCTCCCCGCTCCGATCCTCCATCGCTAACTGGCGGAATGGACGGGGGAGGGGGCGGGTACAGCTGGCTCTGCCTCTAGATAGGCAGAGCCAGCTGTCACTCACGCAGCGGGGTGGATCCAGACATAATTGTCAGGATCCGTTCCGGCTGCGGCGTCTCAGTATACCGTGAGCTGTAGCTAGGGTGACGGGAGGACGCTAGTTTGTGTCCTCCCGTTACCTTAAGGAGAACTATGGGGAAAAGCCTCTACCCCATAGTTCTCCTTTAATGTTATACTGTAAACAGAAACAAAGTTTCAACTAAAAAGAAAACACATTAGTAAGGTTACCAATTGGAATCCTGTCAGGTTTTTATTGCCATCTGTGTGCCCATTGGGGTAGTCTCCCTTCCCTGTCACCACGACAGGTAGTAACGGGAATTCTCTACATCAGCGTTTTACATTTAGGGTGCCTTCTGGCTTCCGTTGGGGTGCCTCGATGAGATAGTAGCTACTGATGTGATTGTAAGTTCCTGATGTGAAAGGGGGACTGAGGACTCTGATATGAAAGGGGGTTAAAAACCCCCCCCCCCCCCCCATGCTGCTTTAAGGACTTACCTTAAATGATACCTCTTGATCCGATTATTTACTTCTTTCCAAGTAGTCTTCAGGAGTCCCTCCAGCGCTGGTGCTGGTCTCTGATCCAGCGCTGACTGCTGTGTCTTCCTATCCCTCGGTGTCTGTGCGGGTGCACGCTGTCAGGCTGCCTGCGTTGACTTACCCTGGGTCTCTCCTCCTCTCCCAGCCGAAGATCTCTACTGCGCCTGCTCCCGCCCAATGATCCTTCACGAACGCCCGAGAATCTTCGGACTGGAGGGAGCGACGGTGACAAAAGTATTTACCTTTTTGGAAACTTTTTTTTTTAATGTTTTTACATATATCTACTGCTTGCTAGCACTGTCACTGCACCAAATCAGTCAGGCAAAACAAATGGCCGGTCTAAGAGCAAGCCGGCTCTGAGGATCAGGTCAGTATAACTTTTTTTTAGCACTGAAACAAAAAGGAGCTCTGTCAGGGTTAGGAACATTTTTGCCCGGCGTTCTGCTCAAAGCATAGCCTAAGCCCTGTAGCTATAGGGAAATATACTGTCATTGGTGGGGCTGTTATGGCATACGACATTATTAGGTTTGCTGACTTAACACTGCTTGAATCACCAAATGATTCCTTTATATTTAATATCAATTTCTATACTCCAGCGACTACATCATCTGCATTATCCGCGCAGTCTACAGCCTCAGCCATTGTAGCCATTGTGGAAGGACGAGGACTTGCCAGTGGAGAGATAGGAATGGCTAGTTTGGATCTGAAAAACCCTGATGTTGTCTTATCGCAGTTTGCGGACAGCTCCATATATGTCAAGGTGACGGTGCATTTGCTGTGTGTACATTGAAGCCAAATTCAAATTAATTCTGTATATGTCCAATATATGTTGTGTGCTCTGTTATTAATATCATATTCAGCTCATCAGTTCAGATGAACAAATGCTGAGCGTCAATTAGGCTGCAAGTTTGTCTTCTAGCGAGGATGTTCACCAGAAAACTGTTAACCCCTTAAGGACCATTGACGGGATTATTCCGTCATGGTTGTCTGTGCCATAAGGACCCATGACGGAATAATTCCGTCATAGGTCCTTAAGGGTTTAAGCTTCCCCCATGCACTATATGAGAACTTTTATATACATCTGTCACATCAAATTAAAGGAGAACTATGGGGTTAAGGCTTTTCCCCATAGTCCTCAGGGTAACGGGAGGACACAAACTAGCGTCCTCCCGTCACCCTAGGCTCAGTATACCGCGAGCTGTAGCTCACGGTATACTGAGACGCCGCAGCTGAAGCGGATCCCGACAATTGTGCAGGGATCCGCCCAGCTGCGTGACTGACAGCTGGCTCTTCCTATCTAGAGGCAGAGCCAGCTGTACCCGCCCCCTCCACCATCCGTTCTGCCAGTCGGCGCTGGCGGAGCGGGGAGGGGGGAATCCAGCCCCTCCCCTGTCACGGCAGAGAGCCGTGACAGGATCGAGAGGTGAGCGAACGCCGTTATGTGTTCGCTCACCTCCCGATCTACTGAGCAGACCTGTGACAGTCTCATTGTCGCAGGTCGGCTAGAACTATGAGGATGAGTGAAAAGCACTCACCTCATAGTTCTTCTTTTAAAGCCCTTTTTGTCCTTTACGCAACGGTATATAATACTGTATGTGTTGGTGCAATAAATGAGAAAGATGGAAATTGAAGTTAAACACACACAGCAAAAATTGCTTCGGCCCTTGGCGTCACAAAAATTGCTTCGGCCCTTGGCGAAGGCAGTGGCGTCACAAGGGGGGTGCGGCCCGTACCCGGTTGACACCATTGCAGGGGTGACACCAAAATGACTGACAGTCATTTTAGTGTCACCCCCTCTAAAATTCAAGAGACCGACAGTGTCAGGAGAAAGATGGGGTCCTGCCGGGTGAACGTCCCATCCTCTCTCAGCAGGTGTCAATCAGATGGCCGCGCATGTGCGATGTGACGACACAGCGGCATGTCACCCGGTCTGGAGACCGCGTGACACCCGGCCTCGGGACGCCCCTTCCTTAAGGGGTTTAAATCATTCTTAATTGGGCAGGCCTAATGCTTTAATATATTCTAGGTGATAACGAAACTTCAGATTCTAGCACCGCTGGAAATCTTGATGTCAAACACGGCTTGTGAAGGTGGCAAAACAACAGAACTGTTCCGTCTGATCACTGAAAACTTTAAGGTACATATTACAGGTGTTCCTACAGTTCTGTATCTGCGCTCGCTGGACGCACTTCAATGTTTGTCTGTTGTCCATAGAATTTTTTTGTTTTTGTTTACATTAGTGGCATTTCATTTCTGTCTTTGTGTTAAAATAAAAAAAATGTAAATATGTACAGTATGCTGTAGATGGTGGGATGGCTTTATGGATAGCTCGGTTTCCTAGTAGTGCCAAGGTCCTGGATTCATTTCTTAACAGACACTTTGAGGGGAATTTATCAAAACTGGAGCAGACAAAATCTGGAGCAGCTGCTGTGCATGGCGACCAATCGGCTTCTCTCTTTCATTTTCATATGTGAACTGAACAAACTGAAGAGAGAAGCTGATTGGTTATTATGAGCAACTGCTCCAGATTTAGTTTGCTCCAGTTTTGATAAATTCCCCCCTTTGTGGTTTTTATGCCCTCCCTGTATTTGTTTGGGTTTCTTGTTGATGCCTCAGTTGCCCTTAACCTCCTTGGCGGTATTCCCGAGTGTGGCTCGGCGTTAATTTTCTGTACCGCGCTGTGTCCTCTGGCCGATGCCGACATCCGTCTTCCGTGTTCCGTCCCTTGCGAGCGTCACAGGGCGGCGGAACCGACAGGAGATTCAAAAGAAAAAAAAATTCATAGAACGAAAAAAAGAAGAAAAAAATCATACCGCCAGGGAGCTTAATCCAGACACTAGGGAGGCACCAATATTAGTTTTTCGGTAACGAGTACGAGTACCGATATTTTTTTTTCCCCTAATACTAATCTTAACCCACTAAAATTCCAAACTTACCTTCTAAGGCCCCGAAAATAGTAATGTGGAATCATCACTGCCCCATGCCAAACACTACACAGCCTATTCCTTGCTACCTAAAACTACTGTTGCTCCAAAGACCTGATAGTATTGAAGATTTTCACGCAGATCGGTAGGACTAATGTCTTTATTCAACCTCAAATACTATGTAACAGTTTGCGCAATACATCAAAGCTCCAGCACACGACTCCACGTAGCATTGTATAATCATTTGCTTGCTTTAGTGTTAATAATATTTATTTGTTGGCTTTTAGGATGTATCTATTACTACTGTACAGAGGAAATATTTCAATGAAACCAAGGGTCTGGAATACATTGAACAACTGTGTGCCCCGGAATTTAGTACAGTGCAGATGGAAGTTAAATCTAAGTATGTTGAAATATTTTAATTACCATAAACCTCTTTATTTTTATATTATGAAATATCTTTCCAGCTAAAGGGAACAATATTATTATAAGGGTCAATCACTAGAGTCCAGCTATAGAGAACAGCAGAAGGATGAGGGGTCATCACTAGAGTCCAGCTATAGAGAACAGCACAGAGATGAGGGGTCATCACTAGAGTCCAGCTATAGAGAACAGCACAGAGATGAGGGGTCATCACTAGAGTCCAGCTATAGAGAACAGCAAAAGGATGAGAGGTCATCACTAGAGGCCAGCTATAGAGAACAGCACAAGGATGAGGGGTCATCACTAGAGTCCAACTATAGAGAACAGCACAAGGATGAGGGGTCTGTGACGGACTGAACCGTCACTGGGGCTGCTGGAGGAGCCTGGGGGCTAGCCTCCTTCCTACGGACTATGGACCAGAACTATGGAGACCCCCCTCAGACCTCTTGGGGTTACATGGAACCATTCTACCAGGTTTATGTGTGGAGTGGATATACTGTATGTCTCCCCCGACATTACAGACACACACATCACTGTGTTCATTATAGGTAGCAGGCTGGCTGGAGTGACCATTGTTTGCAATGATGGGATTAAGTTCTTATCTAATTAAGGACATTCATCCCACAGAGTGTCTGTGCATGAAAGACTTCTAATGCGGCACCTAGCTGTCTGGGGGAGGGGACACACTGAAGAGAACAGCACAAGGATGAGGGGTCATCACTAGAGTCCAGCTATAGAGAACAGCACAAGCATGAGGGGTCCATCACTAGAGTCCAACTATAGAGAACAGCACAAGGATGAGGGGTCATCACTAGAGTCCAGCTATAGAGAACAGCACAAGGATGAGAGGTCATCACTAGAGTCCAGCTATAGATAACAGCACAAGGATGAGGGGCCATCACTAGAGTCCAACTATAGAGAACAGCACAAGCATGAGGGGTCCATCACTAGAGTCCAGCTATAGAGAACAGCACAAGGATGAGGGGCCATCACTAGTCTTTAGCTGCAGAGAACAGTACCGGGACAAGGGAGTTAATAGCACTATATATGAAATATTAATAATAGACTGATATATATATACCTGTACAGTCTATACATCAAGTTTAATGTTAGATTGGGGATAGAACTATTTGTTCTGTACTGCATAGCTAGATAGGCTTCTAAACAAGTCTCTTTCTTGACGTTTAGGTATTACTGCTTGGCTGCTGTTGCTGCTTTGCTGAAATATGTTGAATTCATGCAGAATTCAGTCTACGCTCCCAAATCTCTCAGGATCCGATTTCAAGGAAGTGAGCTGACCGCCATGATCGATTCTGCATCTGCCCAGAACCTTGAACTTCTGGTGAATAACAGAGATTCTAGGTTTGGCTATGGCTTGTATATGGAGGATTTCATTATATGGAGCTGAGAGCTATTTGTACGCATTCTGTAATCTTGTTGGTCTAACAATCGTAGGGTTGGGTGGGTTTCGGCTAATATGTGAGCACATGCTCTTTAAAAACCAGACCACTGACCCTTTGATTGTCATTGATAAGACTTGCAATAGGCACAGAGAAGTCACCACATTTGTATTGTCTTTATTGGTATGGCCACATCCGACACAAACTGCCTACAAGTGAATACCCACTTGTCAAGTACCAGGCAGGTTCACAGTTTTGGCACTATTCCTATTATATCAGGAGCAAAAAGGGTTTAGCTGGGCTCCTTGGATATGAATCAGGCCCTTGACTCTTGCCTAGTTTGTCTTATGGATGATGGGACTCTGCTTGTGAGGAAATGCCATGTTTACATAGCAGTCATACAAGTGATGTACCCATTGCTGAACCAAAGCACTGACCTGTGACCTGTTTTTGGCTTTTTAAATCCAGAGGGTGGCTATGTAAAACTGGCATAGACTTAGTTCTGGCTTTGGTGATAATTGGTTCCATAGGCTTCCTGTAGGGCATTACCTGAATAGTTCCTACTAGTAATTTATTAAAGTCACTCCTATAGCTTCAGCCCACACTGTCAGCCCTGTGCTGAAACAACCCAAAACTGTCCTATCTATAGGTACGTTTTCTGGTTCAGCAAAGGCAGGGGATGCTTTAAAAACTTAATGGGTGAGACATTTAAAAATAGGCTTGCTGTGCAACAGAGACATTTATTATTATTATACAGGATTTATATAGCGCCAATAGTTTGCGCAGCGCTTTACAATATAAGGAAGACATTACAGTCACAATACAATTCAAGACAAGATGGTAAGGAGGGCCCTGCCCCCGAGGGCTTACAATCTACAATTTACCCAAAACTCTTCCGTTCAGGGTGTTTTTCTTTTCTTTTCTTGTGCAAACAATTTGCGCATAGTTTTCATTACAGGCCGGTCTGATTCAGTTATTGCAGCCCAGACGGTTTTGATCCAATTTGCTCCCTTTTGGACTGTTAAATATATTGAAAGGATTTTTTGTTTTTAAATCAAGGAATAATCATAGCCTTTTTGGGGTACTAAATAATACTAAAACACCAGGCGGGAGCCGTAGGCTCAGGGCAAATATCCTGGAGCCTCTTACTGACCTTCAGACCATAAACACAAGGCTGGACTGTGTTCAGGAGTTTCTGGAAAACGAGGAGCTTTTCTTCAGCCTGCAGTCAGGTGAGAGGTAGAGCCTTGTACACCATGAGGACATTTCTAAACCTGGATACATCTGTTTATAGTTCACATTTCTGATACATCATCAACATTTTCTTTACATCATCATCTCTATATACATATTATATATATTCCTGTGTAATATACAGTGTTTCCATAGGTTTTTTAATCAACGCTTTAGATTTTCTTATTTACAATATGTTATCTTATTTTCTTAGCTCTGATGAAGGGGAACTTATGAGCCCCTGAAACATGTTGGCTAAATCTTCTGTCCTCTTGCTTGTGAAAAATAAACCTTTATGAGACTTGATCTAGTCTCGTGGTGCTCTCATCCTCTTATATATACTTCATACTGCTCTGGTGATCCCTAAGAACACCGCGGGTGACAGAGAGCAGCCTCCAAAAGCTGGATTTGTTACCAGATTCTACATTTCCCTACCAACATGTCTTTTAGCATTTATAAAGTCTTTTTAGTGCCCCAACTCACTTTGTAGGCCCTATTGATGGCAATGGCAGTCCATGAAAACCCATGGTGTCTATGGACTTTTTGCTACCTGAGGCTGGGGAGGATGGTACACAAGAGTGACGCTGCCCTCTGCAGACCTGGGACAGTCTGGCAAGCGTCCTGCCCAGCTCCTGGCAACCAATTATATCACTGGTTGCCAGGAGCTGGGCGGAACGCCGGCCAGAGTGTCCCAGGCTGCTAAGAGCTGGGCGTGGTGCTGTATATGGCCCCTACTCCTCCTGCCCGGCTCTTAGCAACTTGGGACACTGGCAACTGTCTAATTAAATGGACGGCCCTGATGAATACGCATGTAACTTAATTTTAGCATCTTTCCAGTGCATGGTAATCCGCTCCCCCCATGGCAACCTCAGCTTTTAACTCCACATTTCACAGAGTAGTGCATTGTTGATTTTTTACCAGAACAGGAACAGAGGGGAAATCTTTTAAAGGGGCACTATCTAAGAGGATGTTTACCCTACTTTGTAGAGATTTCCCATCACTGCTGTTGTGCCTGAAGGACAGAAATTGACTGGATTTCTAGAATCGTCAGAGAACCCATCGCACTCCTGACCGCTTTGTCCATATAGATTAAAGTTGGTGCAGCGGTGATCAACGGATGGCAGCCGTTATCATGCACAAAGAGAAGTATGGACATCGGCACTCCAGATGCGTCTATTTATTGATGAAAATGCAGCATAATCACACTCATACCTCTCTTTGTGGATTTCTTGAATGACACGCATGGCAAAAAATACCTGGCAGGCATTTTAAACCATCCCTACTCTAAAATGGAATCAGGTTTTGGCTTTGGATAAACTTTAAAATTAATCTTTACATTTTGTTATTCTTTGATTGTGATCTGCTTAATTTAAATCTTTTTTTTTTTTTTAGTCCTTTCCAGATTTTTGGACACAGAACAGCTGCTGTCCAATCTTATTCAGATTCCAAAACAGGATACAGTAAGTATGTTGTAGCTCAGATATCTGATTCATTTTATGAATACTTAAGCTGAATACACAACAAAGCCAACCAACGATCTTGCGTAAGGATTTTGTTGATCTGATCTTTGTGCATCTTTCACTTCTATTGTTAAGGTGCCCATACACCCAAAGATTTATTTGTTCAGCTCACAAAAATCTTAACAGATTCCTCCATCCACGCTAAACAGCACAGATTGAGGAATATCCTGATGTGGCCAGTGCATTGTCGATTTTTTCAATCGCAGGATGTCCAGCAGGAGGTGGCAGACAGCGAATTTCAGCCAGGTCATCAAAAATTGTTTGAAATACACTCACAGGGTTATTCACTTAGCTGCCGTAGGCAGCCGAGTGAATAACCGAGCCAGAAGTGAAGTGAGCCCAACGCTGTTCGGCTATTCACTTCTGGCTTGTACGGCTGATTTTAGCCGTGCATCGGCTGGATCCTTCAGCTCTTTAGAGAATAACCCCCTCAGTGTATGGCCAGCTTTACACATACGATTCCTAATGTTCTCAGCTTTATCAAGAGAGAAACGTTCACTGAAAAACATTGCTTGCATAGGCAGCAATTTACTAATTAGATAAAGTGTTATGCTTCTGCCAAGCCTCTCAGTGCGTCTAATAATATTACACTGTGACACTAAATGTACTCTGAGCTGGGTGATTTTCAATAATTAGAGCTTCTGCGGTAGAGGTAGAAACTTAAAGCAGATCTAGAGTCACCCAATGCAATGAATGGTTCTATGGTGCATGACTCAAATACTAAGATCGCTGAATTATTTTTATTTAGACATTTATTATTGCCCAGAAAGTATTTCTGCCACTTCTGTTTTTGTGCACCCACGCTATAGACGCAGCACCTCTCCTGATAGAGCCCATACAATTACATTTCCCTCCAAGCTCAAGTGCAGGGGCTGGGACTCCATATGCAGGCAACAGATGAAGGGCAGCAGATTGAGGTGTGGCTCTGAAGGATAGAGGATACTTGATGGACTCAGTACAGTGCAGCACTGACAGGTATAGTGTACCAGGAGCAGAAGTTGCGGTACAGAGCTGACAGGTGTAGCATACCATTAGTAGTGACTGCTCTGTGGCACTAATGGACTGCAAGGATCGGGGCACAGGAGTAGCGGAAGGACAGCAGAGACACTAGGACAGGCCAGTAGACATATACTTGCCTCAGACTTGCCTTGTAGACTCACTTTGTAGGCCCTATTGATGGCAATGGCAGTCCATGGAAACCAGATAAAAACCTGTCAGGGTACCATGCACAGGTGTCCTCACACCACATGTAGGTACCCACGCAGGATGACCAAATTAATATGCCCACACTGTATAGGGTTATATGCACACAGTTTATTTGTTACAAAGCAAACAAAACTACAAACCCCCACAGGGTTAGCAGTGAAGTAACAAAAAAACCACAGTTGGGACAAACACACCTACAGCCAGGGGGAACAGCAACAAGGAGGGGTAACAGGACTGCAGATAGACAGCAGCCTCAGGTACAAGCCGGGTCGTTAACAGGAGGGCAGCGCGGTACAGGATTCAAGGAGAGTGGTCGGGTAACAAGCCGGGTCGTTAACAGGAGGGCAGCAGCACAGTACAGGAACAGGATCCAAGAAGAGTGGTCGGGTAACAAGCCGGATCAGTGACAGGTTTGCAGATAGGAAGCAGGGTTCAGGTAGCAGGACATGGGAATCAGTCAGGTGCAGGCGACGCAATACTGAGCCAGCTTCCTGACTGCAGGGAGGGCTTAAATACTCTCCCAAGAAGCACCAGGTGATGGGATGATCAGTCACAGCTGGGGCACACTCGCAGGTGAGTACTGGAGCTGCACGTTCCTGACAGTTCCTGGCTGCTGGAGACACCCGCAGGCGAGCACAGGAACTGCAGGACCTGGCTCCAGCGCCACCTGGGGGTGCTCTGGATCCTGACAAAACCTGTGATGTCTCTAGATTTTTCGCTGCCTGGGGGGGCCTTGGGCAGGCATGGGGTGGTGTTGCACGAGAGTGATGCCACCCTCTGCAGACTTGAGACACTCTGGCGGGCGTCCCGTAAGGAACTACATGGGCGCCAGGAGCTCAAGGGGCTATGTAGACAATCCTTGCACATGTGTCTGTCTATGAAGTGCGTCAGCCCTGTAAGGATGTGGCCAAGTGATGCAGACGTGATTAGCCACTGGACCGAGGAAGGTAAGTAGCTGCTTCAGTCACATGCAGGTATTATTGCAACTCACCATTTAGAAAAAGAATAGCAAGGGCACAAAACTTAATATTATAATGACATTTTTCCAAAAAGGGCATCGGCAGTAAATGATTTCTCAACAAGCTGTTAAATCCTTTCCACCAGTATCATGCTTTGTTATCAGTTGCTAGTGATCTTTTTAACCTGTATTGTTAACCAACCAACCAATCAAGATCAAGGAAAGTTCTAAAAATGTTGTCTTGTATATGGCTGTCCTGTTGGTACAGTATGGCTCTGTGTGAACCATCGTCTGTTGTGCCATCCAATTGTTTGTCTTCTATGTGATTGTTTCCTTTAAGAAGCACCTCGCCATTCTAATTATGTTTCTAACGCATAATTAATACCCCTCATTAGTGTCATTTTCAGTGCTGTATAGTTCTCTCGGGGCAATAATCAGGTGTCAGTTTCTCAGGTAACAAGCTCCATGTTGATCTAAAGCTATTCTGCCTTCTGGCTCAGCTACCTGATATGTGGTTGTCACCTTTGTTTCCTGTCACCTATTGTCATTTATGTCATTTATTTGTTTCCACATTTGAGTGTTACACGGAGCAATAATCTGTAAGCAAACTTATAATTAGTAACCTGATAATCTGTTTCAGCTCCCTGTGCTGCCATAATAAAGGGCAAAACCAGACGGACATTTATACTTGCTTTACATTTCTTCGAAAGGGAATTTATAGTCTTTTAAAAGTATTTTTTTCTAATACATATCCTTATTGGCAGCAGAAGTAAACCTAAACTACACTGTTACAGTGCCACACCCCACCTCTTCCATGCATCTAAGGCCTGGTTCACACCTGGGCGTTTTGTAGCACGTTCGAACGCTCTGCAAAACTCTCAAACACCAAAATCCCATTATTTCCTATGGGTATGGTCACACCTGGGCGTATTACAGGCTGTATGAACGCGCTACAAAACGCCCTACGCCCAAAGAAGTACAGGAGCTTCTTTGGGGCGTTTTTGTCGCACATTTCCATTGGGATACAGCCAAGTAGCCCTCGGAAACGCACGTTTGCCGCACGTTTTTTTTTACCACGAACCCAGCCTAACTGTTCAATTTTAGAATTTCACTAGAGGTTCTGGATTTTGGAAAAGGTTTGGGCAGGGCTTGTGCCAGAGTCAGGGATACCAGCACAGGTGACCCCACACCTGCGCAGGTACCCACACAGGCAGACCAAACACTTTAGACCACACCGGACAGGGCAGAATGTATTATATACGGTTTAATAAACAGCAACACTAAACAACACCCAAAGCAAACATAAATAAGTAACATCAACAAGACAACAAGCAGGTAATGGCAACAAGAGGAAAGGCAGGTAATGGCAACAGGAGGTATCTAGGACTGCAAATGGGTAACCGGGCTCGGGACACAAACAGGACTCTGGATGGAAAGCAGGGTTTACCGGAAATGGCGACAGAACTGGGGACTCAGGATTCACAGGAAACAATCAGGGTTCAAGTTTCAGGACAAACAGGAAACAATACTGAGCTATCGTCCTGACTGCAGGGAGGGTTTAAATACCCTCCCAGGAAACACCAGGTGATGGCTAAGTGCTGGGAGACACCCGCAGGTGAGCACTGGAACTGCAGGGCTAGCTCCAGCGCCACCTGGAGGCGCTCTGGATCCTAACAGTACTCTGGATCCTAACAGCCAGGGGTGGTGCTTAGGGAGAAATGGTGCAGACGTTGATGTGGGGAGTACTGACCAGGATTATGGGGAAGAATCATACAAGTAGTGCAGGTACCATGGGGTGTGTACACTTTAATCATATTGTTCAAGAGACATGGAGTCATTTTACCATAACTGGGCAAAATTACCCACTCCTTTTAGCTAGCTATTCTTACCCACTGCTTCCGCACTGCAGGTGTTCCGCCCGGGGTAAGCCCTGGAGTTGGACCAGCTTAACCGGGTAGATATATTGCTTCCTACCCATGTGAGCGAAAGGCGTAGGGAAGAGGTGACGGAGCACTTACTGGTGTGTATATCTTGCTGGAGTTGTGTGCTATCAGGAAACACTATCACTTTGCTCTGAATAGCCATTCCTCTTGCTATCCTTTCTAACAGTACCCATGCATAGAGGCTGCTGTAACCTCCTAAATGTTAGCTCTCTCATATCGTGGCTCTCTAGCAATCCATAGATAGCAGCTGTGAAAACTCTGTGTAATTGACTTTTTCTTCGAAGTCTAATATGCACTCAGTGTTTGTGTTCGGTCTGCCTGAACACAGTGACATCATACCTTGTTTCCAGATTGGCTGGATTTTTTCTCTATCTGCTGACCTGAGGCTTTAAAATACAGCAGTCTTAAAGTACAATTAAACCTTTGGGGTTTTTTTTGCATTTATCTACTTCTAGCAAGCAGTAGAGATAAGCAAAAACATTAAAAAGTTTTTAAAAGTTACCAAATAGGTAAAAAACGTACCTGTGTCTCCGCCGCTCGCTCCCGTCCAAAGATCTGAAGATTCTTGAGCGGCTGTGAAGGATCGTGGGGCGGGCAAATGCACAGTAGAGATCTTCAGCCGGGAGGAGAGACACAGTGCAAGTTAATGCAGGCAGCGTGCACCCGCACAGACTCCGTGGGACACAGAAAACACAGCAGTCAGCACTGGATCAGGGACCGGCACCAGTGCTGGAGGGCCTCCTGAAAACTGCTGGAAAGAAGAAGATGATCGGATCAAGAGGTAGCATCTCAGGTAAACATGTATTTATGGAGAGTAGCTTGTTGGAATAAGTATACTTACTGCAACAAAACCTGCCTTGTGGACAGAAAAAAAAATCAGAAATGATTGCAGGGAGATCAGGCTGTTGGAGTTTCTGAGACACACAGGAAGAGAGGGGCACATTCTTTTAAAACTAAAAAAATCGCTTTTGAGTGGACTGACCGTTTACATTATTTTACCAAAAACAACTCAGTGATCATAATGTTGTCTATCACACACCCACAATAAATTAGTACTGCTGGTCTGTGTTACTTTTAAAGGTTTAGAGCATCTCATCCGGTGAGAAAAAGATGGATCTCTTGATAGCCATGTTGGATTATCATCATATACACTACATTACAAAGTGACGGTGTCTATAGTTTTTGCTTGCTTGAAATGAACATGGCTTAACACTGAGTTTCCCTTTCAGTCTGCAGAAAATAAACTATGTCCTGCCCTTATCATTTAATGCCCAATGATTTTGTCTTTACTGTCTCATAAAGGGAGTGCATAAATAAGACGTACAATAACCACAGCTTTCCCTCTTTAATTAATGCCGTTTCCAGTTAGAGGTGTTTATGTGAATGAAGCACGTCCTGCTGGCTCTGGAGGAATTTAGCTGAATTATTTAGGTCAGGGGAAAGAAAATGAGAGCTTGGACATGGGTCACTTGTTCGAGTCTGTTGTTTACAGTTAATCCTACTGTGTGCTGCTTTTCTATTAATGACCGAAAATCCCCTCTATTAAATTATCAGCCACAAGATGTTACATGCTGGAAATGACAGTACTATGGGAGATGCCGACATTCCAGACCCAGAAATTACATTTTATTTTGTGATTGACAGCAATGAAAATGGCAGATAATTGTGGTATTGTGGTAAAAGGTCTGTGACCTTATACAACCTGCCAGGAGAGCAACTGAAAGTATATGAAACGGAACTCTGCATTAAAACTGGACATTAAAGAATAGGTGTACTTTAAAATAGTAGTAAAGTCACATTTTCCCCCACATATATCTACTGCTAGCGAGCAGTAGATATATACAAAAGCATTAAAAAAAAAAAGTTACCAAACAGGTAAAAACTTACCTCCGTCTCCGCCGATCGATCCCAGCTGCAGATCTGTAGCTTCGCGAGCGGCCACGCAGGAGGATGATAGAGATCACCAGTGGGGTGAAGAAGAGAGGCTCACTGTAAGTCAATGCACACAGCGGTGAGCGTGCATGTCAGACAGACACCGTGGGACACAAAGAGTCTGCACTGGATTAGAGACTGGCACCAGTGCTGGAGGGATTGCTGAAAACAAGTGGAAGGAAGAAGATTATAGGATCAAGAGGCATCATTTAAGGTAAGTCCTTAAGCAGCATTGAGGGGGGGGGGGGTGTGACTTTAATGTCAATTTAAAGACTTGCAATGAATGGACCAGAAAACAGGAAACATCTGATGGCTTCTGCCATAACGGCATGTTGTCAATGCACAGTACTGCAGTATGTGTCTCCAGTGGGGAGTTATCTTCCCAGTTCCTATCATGGTTATGGTTGTCATCGGGAAGTGAGGGGAAATAACTGATGACATGGACAGCAATAATAACCTGACAAAGGTTGCAGCTTTTTCCTACTACTCCATATAAAAACAAAGTTTAGTCTGAAGATGGACTTTAACTTTGTCAGTTACAATAAAGGCGCAGGGTGTCTTTCCTATACATGGTAATCAAACTAAAGTGTTTGCAGTGGGCTAAGGAACTTCTACACTGGACTGTCAGAGACTGGGGAAAGGTTTCATCAGTAAATTCTGATTACATACATACGTACATACATACATAATATATATATGTTTTTGTTTTGCATTATGTCATTGCCGCTGTTCAGGTTATTTAACGAAATTCTACTTATTTACTAAACAGGAAAAAGCTGCAGATACGAAGATCACAGTTCTAATTTCACTGAAGCATACTCTAGAGCTTGTAGAGCCCCTAAAGGTAACTGCAATTCACAATTGTTGCTGAGTATTTGTAAAAAACTGAGGACATATTAAGTAGGGCTGCAACAACTAATCGATTAAATCGCTAATAATCGATTATGAGAATAGTTGTCAACTATTCTCATTGCTGATTAGTTGGTTGGAGAGAGAAAGAGGGAGGAAGGGAGATTTTTTTAAATACAACTAATCGATTAATTGAAAAAATTATCGGGCAACTAATAGATGTTGAAAATAATCGTTAGCTGCAGCCCTAATATTAAACTTTCTATGTCCCCAGTTATGAATGAACAGGAAGGTTTATACATCACTTCCTGTTCATTCATGATTGTGGACATAGTAAACAGTAGTCTCCTCAATTTAGGAGAGCTTCCTGTTCATTGAGTGCTGGGGCTTCACAAAAAGAGATTGAGGAGATTGGTCTATGGTCCCTGTGTGTGTTGTAAAGTAGTCACCGCTTTAAGCTCACTCCTGTGATGGACTACAACCTCATGTTTAGTTTACTAAGTTGTATTGCCTTTAATGGTTAGCACTTTTGCTTTGCAGCTCTGGGGTCCTCAGATTGAGTCCCCGGCCAGGTTGAGACATTTACTTCTTAGATATTCAGAAAAATTCTTCTTTTACAGGTTGTACTGAAAAACTGTAAGACACCGCTACTCAAAGCTTATTATTCTTCTCTAGAGGATGAAAGGCAAGTTGTGAATAATTATACCCCCCACCCCCCCCCCCCCGCCTCAC